GTTTTCATGTTTTGTGGATTTTTCCAAGGTATTCGACTCGGTTTGGTGTGAAGGTCTACTCTATAAATTACTTCAATTGGGAATAGGTGGAAAATTCTATGCTGCTATCAAGTCAATTTATAAAAACCGAGGAGTAACTCCATATCAAAAAGTCAAAAATTATGATATTCAATGGTAATGGCAAGAATCTTAATGACAAATTTATGTTTTTTATAAATGAAATTACAATTACCTTGGCATTATTTTCCAGACTATGGGAAATTTAATGAAGCACGTCGAGGTTACAGACAAAGCCCAGAAAGCTTTATTTAAGTTATTTAAATGCTCTGGGATTCTAATGAGTGTTACTCAGCAAGTCTGCAAGTAAACTGTTTGACTCTTTAGTTAAACCAATTATACTTTATGAGTGTGGATGTTTGGGGTGGGTTCTTGACAAATGCTTTTAAAGGATCAAGAACTAACAAGTCTGAGATTGATGATGACAATTTCATTTCAAAATTATTCTCAGACAAATTGGTAATTGAAAAAGTTCATGTTAAGTTCTGCAAAAGAGTACTTGGGGTTCATAAGAAGGCAACAAATAATGCCTGTAGAGAGGAGTTGGGACGGTACCCAATTATGGTAGAAATTTGTACAACAGTCATGAAATCATATCAAAGAATGTCATGTAAAAACAAACAATGCAATCATTAATGCAGCATTCGAAGAAAGCAGTGCTTACACCCATGACCAATGGTTTACCTTTGTACAAAAGTTGTTGAGAATTACTCAAATGGATAATGTAGATATCAGTCAAGCAAATTTCTGTGACTTGTTCAAAGAGAAGATGAAGCTTATTTACATTAAATATTGGGGAAATGATTTAAAGAAGATTGGCCATAATAAGTTAAGCACTTACAACACATTTAAAAGTAATTATAAGTTAGATAACTATTTGGATGAAATTAAAAACAAAAATCATAGAATAGCTTTAACTAAATACCATATTTCAGCACACTTTCTACCTATTGAGAAAGGCCGTTACCAGGGTACTGATAGAGATAATAGAGTATGTAATTTATGTAACAACGATGACTTGGGAATTAAATACATTATATAATGCACTGCAAACATAATGATATTACTGGGCACAGGGATAAGTTCCTTAAATCATTGTATATTTATGCACCCAATCAACAAAATTTATGTAAGAAATATTTGTTTGTGCAGATTTTCTCTAGTAATGATAAATGTATCTATACCAACTTAGCTAATTTTTTTTTTCAGATTATGAAATTATTTTAGTTTAGTTAGTTATTTAGTTAGTTGTTTTGTATTGTTATTTCTTTTTGTTTTTGTTTTTTTAAACTTTACTCAAGCTTTGTATTGTGTACGTTCCAAATAAAATACAAAGCTTGAGTAAAGTCCAATCTTGTATATTTGTTCTCATTACACAGCCGATTTATCGTTCTCTGTGGGCATTGTTATAGTATGACTCATCATAGTCCAAAGTATGGGCATTTACACTTTCTCTTAAATATTTTGATGATATACACGTTTTTAAGACAATTTTAGGAATAAATAGATTATGTACATTATCCTTGTCTGTTGTGGAACTGCTGACACTATGAATTGTCATGTAAAAATTATTAATATTAATTAACATATTTTTACGGGATTGCCTTTTACAAATATAATATTTGGAAATATTCAAGCAAACAAATTATGAGGTGTGATTCAAATCAATACATGTGGTTTTATTTGAAGTTGTTGTATGTTGGTCAATGTAACTAGCATAAATGTATACTTGTTGACTTGTCTGAGTATTGTCAATATAAGGACAATATTTATACACATTTTCTTGTTGTGTTTAATTTTTAACTTTTCTAAATCTAAGTGTTTTTGGTCACTAATTATAATCAATTAAATTTATTGAATGCATTTGTCATGTTATTGTTACTACATAAAATTAATAATAAAGCTATTCAATTCATCACTAAACATATTGTTTAATTTGTTACATGTATAAGTGTATTATAAGTGCATGTATAGCATGATTGTTTGATCGTGATATATCTACTCATACCAATTCTTCTTCCGAAACATAAGTTATTTTATCACAAATAGGAAATTCATTTCATTTCAGTTAGTTTTAATATTCGGTATGATTGGACTGGGAGTTTTAAAAAGGGGCCTGGAAGGGGAATGAATGGGTGTAAAATTGAAAGGGTGGTCCAGTACATATAGGAAGGGTCATTAAATTTGACAAAAGAATATAAGGGCAAACGTACCCACTACAAATAAATTGGATACATTTTGCATCTTCATTTTGTCTTTTTATTATTCAGTATAGAAACTCTCTAATGTATTAGCCCATTAGATATTGAACTGTCACTGCTATTAATTCCAAAAGACCAAGTCAATTATGAAAGTAGGTTAGAATTGACAAATAAAAGGCCAGTGATCATTGCCACATTCATTTGCGAGATTCAAGTTTAAATACAGTAAAATACTTTATTTTCGCTTGGATGTAATTTTCACCAACGGAACGATTCAGTGAAAATAAAATCCAGCGAATACATGTATACCTGTTTTCCTATATTTTACATTCAACTTGTCAAAGGTCAGTAAAAATAAATTCCATACAAAATACCCCAAAAGTTTTTTGAGCGAATTCCAGCTAAAAATAAGATATTTTACAGTACATTGATTTTCACACAATCAAATATTCATTGATTTAAAAATATAAACGCAAGTTTGATCTGAACATGTTATGAATGAAATACCGACTAACTTATTGTTGATGCATTTCAATAATTCTAGTGGTGTACGTAACTTGCACAACACTCAATCATTTTGTTTCATGTGTGTTTCTTATCTTTCAATCCATGACATAACAAAACAATGATCACCCCTGAACAAAACTCCTTTTGTCACAAGCTCATTGACTTTATGACATATGGTAGCAGCCCAAATTTACCTGTATAGTATTTAAAATACAACATTGTATGTACCAAGCAACTATGAATTTAGATATATTCACATTTCCATTCAAAACCAATTGATCACAGGAACAGCAAAGGGCACTGGACATTTCTTTGGCAGGTCACAATGTTTTTATTAGTGGTCCAGCTGGCTGTGGTAAAAGCCACATGATCAAAAGTATTTATAATGACCTTTGCAAAAAATACAAGGAGAATGAAGTTCAGATTGTGTGCCCCTCTGGAGCAGCTTGTAGCGTGTATGATGTTGAGAGAGGACCAGGCAAGGCTAAAACAGTGCACCACTACTTCGGTATAGGATTGGCTGACAAGTCGTATGATTCCATCATAGAAAATACAAAAGAGACAACATGTGGTAAAATTCAGCAACTCAAGGTCTTGATAATAGATGAGATTTCAATGATGAGTGCCAGAATATTTAATCTTGTATCAAAGCTAGCAATGCATTGCAGGGGTATCAACCAACCATTTGGTGGAATGCAAGTCATTGGAGTTGGGGATTTCTACCAACTGCCTCCAGTAGCAGACTATATTGACCCTGGCCAGTATGCCTTTTTGTCACCACTTTTCAAACCAACATTTAAGCACAACGTTCTTCTGCATACTGTATATAGACAGCATCAGGATGACCCAGAACTACTGGATGCATTAAATTGCATACGAGTTGGGAATTGTGATTTGAAGACAGCAGAGTTCCTAAAAACATTAAACCGAGAGTTGCCAAATAAAGAGAATGTAACATAGAAATATATTTCACCAACATTGATGTCAACAACTGTCAGTGGTTTGTAACCAGTCTTGTGATTGGTTGTTGATAAATTCAGAACAGGCCACGCCTCCAACTGTGCAGTGCGTTCGGGCAAATCGTTAGGAATTCCTAAGTGGAGTCAAATTGTTTGTTCTCTATTTGCTCATAGAGACTGCGTACTACAGTTGATTATAGAGTTCCTGGGCTCCCTGTGCTCATATCCGAACACAATAATATTTAAGAAATGTGCTTAGAGAAAAGTAAACACTGTAGCTGGACTGAACCAGTGGCGGACCCAGCAAAA